GCTGGTGAACAAAGCAGGCTGCCCAGTGTTAAGGCTCAGCAACAGCAGAAACAAACGCTCTTATTTCAGCAAAAGAACTGGCGGGAGAAAAATTTCTAAGAGGCTCTAATTTGAGGTTTTACACACGGAACTTCTCAGAACGCTCACTCCTTCTACTCAGTACCCAGGTTCCTTGTCGCCAGAAAGATACTTTCTAAGTACAGGGGTTCACAGACGTGACCTAGGCTCACATAGTGGGTCTGTCACTTTTGCAGACTTCGGGTGCAAAACTTTGGAGGTAGTTTCTCTTCTCCTTTCTCTTATAAAACCAGAGAACACATCCCCTTACGATGGTATGACATGTGAGTTTCCAGGCAGCTCTCCCAGGTAGCAAACCACAAATTACATGGGCACATTTAATAACACAACGACCAAAACTGATGAGCTGTCTGGAATCAGGCATGAAGTAGGCAGTTGATAGTTTCTACATATAATTTGTCTCTTCTTGAATTTTTTTTTTTTTTAAGTAGGCTCCATGCCCAGTGCGGCCCAACCTGGAGCTCGATCTGATGACCCTGAGATCAAGACCTGAGCTGAAATTAGGAGTCAGATGCTCAACCAGCTGAGTCACCGAGGGGCCCCTTGAACGGTTTCCATGTCTGTAATCAAAGTCAAGCTACCAGCCCAGCCCCTCGCACCTGCACCTTTGTCTGCGCCACCCCCCTCCCCCGGCTGGCAGGTGCGAGTGACCAGCTCCCTCTGGGCTGTGGGGAGCTGCCTTTCCAGCAGGCAAAGACCCCTTCCCAGTACGGCCCCCTTTCAGGCCCTAGTGTCAGAATCCATCCAGGCCCCAGGTGGCTGTGGGTCTCAGGATTTGTATCTGAATGGGATTCCTGCCCCTGCAGGCAGCACTGTCCTATAGGGACTTCACAAAGGTTTGGGGGAATCTAAATCTCTGGCAACAGGAGAGCACTGCCCCCCAATGTCCAAAGCAGTCCCCCCACCCCTTTACATTGTGCCACAAGGTGAGAGCTGCTGCCACGGCGGCCCCTCTTCCCCATGTGATATCTCAACCTTGACCTTAGCAGAGCCCATCCTCCAGAGTGCTCTGAGCCCACTGGATGCCAAGGAGAACATCGTAAAGCACAGCTGGGGTTGGCCTGGCCCCTGGAAGGGTCTTCAAGGTCTTCATTTCTGTATAAAACACTCCACACTGGGTCTCCAAATCCTCTGGCTCCCATAGGATCCACTCCACCTATGGAGACTCAGGCCAAATAAGAAGTTTGCAAGCCACTGTGTGTGCCAGGCTCCTGCCCTGGAGAACTTCCCTGTCAGGCTGGGGAGGAATCCCTCCCATAACTCCTGTCCTACAGCCAGAGAGACCACGAGCCATAGACCACAAGGACAGAGTGCTAGGAGGGAGGAGACAAGGCTGGTGACACTTTTTGACCCCATCACCCTCAGCCAGGATGTGGGGAGTCTCACTTTGCAGGTGAGGAAGCATCAGAAGTGACCAGGTGATTTTGTTTCCATTATACCAGTGGTTCTCAAACTTCACTGCATATTAGGATCACCCAGGAAGACTTTAAAAGTCTCAACGTCCAGGCTGCACCCCATACGCTAATACAGAGCCCCTGTGGGTGGTGCCCAGGCAACCCCCAAGTGATTCAACGTGCAGCCAGTTTGGAGAGCATGCACTCACTGCCCACTGATGATACACCACAGTCTCACTGAGCCCTCCCACACTGGTCATCTCATGGATTGACTTGGGACAGGAACTACCCTCTCTATCCCAAGGCCTGGAGATAGGGACTGATCAGTGACACAGAGCTCGCACTGGTGGTGCTCCCAGCTCTGTATGTGCTGGGAGGGAGGCATCCAACCAGGATGTGCACAGGGAGACCCCAAAGTTTATGTAGGAATCTGGGATGGGGGGCACTGGGGGAGCAGCCCAAGCTGGGGGTAGGCAAAGCAGCATGAATGAGCTGCCTTAGGTACAAGACACACTCCCCCCGCTCACCCCGCTGAGGCTGCACCCCTCCCTCGCGCCATCACCTGTTCCCATGGGTCCCAAGGAGCATGGTCGACTAACAGACCCCTTGAATTGACATGAGGAACTTCCCACAGTGCCTCCTCCTGGTGGCTCGCTGTTCAGGATTTGGTCCTGACAATTGCCATGTGTCCCTAGGTCTTTCTAGCCCTGCCCTGGACTAGGTGTTAGTCCCTGCAGGAGCTTTCCTGGCCGAGGCCCTGGGTTACTTGCTTGCCTGTGTCCTTCCTCATTGGCAGGCCCTGTTCAGTCCTCAAGGCCCAGATTAGGCATCACATCTTCCCTGTAGCTTTCCAGAGGTAGATTTGATTGACAGAAACATGCCACCTCTGTGTCCCTACTGCACTTTATAAACTTCAGTGGGAGCACAACTGTTAGTCACTTGTTTGTAAAAACGAAATATTCAGGACCAAATCCCTGCTTCATCACTTCCTAGGCATTTGACCTTGAGCAAGTTACTTAGCTGCCACGGTTTCCTAACCTATAAAATGGGGATAGTACATGCCTCACAAGGTGTGGAGAGGATTAAATGACAGAATGAACACACTAACACAGTGCCAGGGTCTCTGGACAAGGTCGCCAGGTCCTGCCCATTTCCACTTATCTCTCAAACTCAGCCCCCCTATTGTCCTGCTCTAGCAGGTGCCAACGTATCTGATCCATTGCGGAGCTCAGCTCCCCTCGTCAACTCCTGGGCAGAGATGCTGGCTTGAACTTTACAGACCTCATCCTGACCTGTCTTGATGAAGTCAACATCCAGTGCCATCCTGTTTTCACAGGACAGAGCAAACGCAACTCATGGAGCTCATTAGCATCTGCATTGCAAGCCCAGCTAAAAGGCAATGAAGCCTCTCCAGGATCAGCCCCACTGCTTCCTTCTCAGCCACATCTTCTGTGGCACCTCACACTCCGTGGTTACACTGAACACATCTGCCTGTCAGCCCGCTGGTTCACAAGCCACCATACCTGCTCAGTGTATGCCTATGCCAACCCAGAGCCACACCTAGGTGATGCATCCTCCTGGCTGAGCCTGGCTCACCACCAGGACATCCCAGAAGTAGGGGAAGGGGACACTGGTAAGTGCAAGGGTCACTTCTGGCTGCAGAGGAGGCTGGCTCATGTCTCTGTGTTGGTTGTATGCCCAGGTAAGACTTAGGGAGAATGAAGGACAGCTGCAGGGCAGGAGTCCCCACAGCCAGAGAAAGTGGGCAGCACATGGCCAGAAAGGCCCGACTGAGTGAGGAGTATGGGAAAAGGTGTGAAGCCAAAAGCGTCACTAAGGACTTTGGCTCCAGATGGTGTGAATCAGGTGAGTGACAGTGAGGAGAGCAGAATGGACAGAGAGAGACCTTGATCCCAGGAGTGGCCAGGCCAGGCAGAAGGGGAGCTGGGAGGGTGGCCATGTTTGCAAAGGTGCCCAGTGGATGCTGCCGATGGCCTGGAGGCCAGCCTTCAGGGAGGGGCAGGGCAGAGGCACCAGGAGGAATGAGGAGTGTTGGTGATAGGGCTAGGAGTCAGTGCTCACCCCTAGGGCTCTTGCTCGGGAAACCAGGCGACAAAGTCCAGGCCATCTGGAGGCCTGGAGGGTGTGGAGAGGTGGGGTTGGTGTGAGTGCGAATGGGAGCATCCACCTGGCAGCTGGTTCCTGGGTGTGGAGCTCTGCAGAGTCCAGGCTGGAGGCAGCCTCAAAGGTGCCAATGTGGCTGAGGATGTTGATTATTTCACCACAGGAGCGTGAAAGGGGAGTAGGGAGAACCTTGGAGAAGGTGACACTTAAAAGGAGAATGGTGTCTGAGGGTCATAGAAAGGTTCTGTAGAGTCAGGAGGCAACCCTCACGATGGTGGGGTCCAGGTGCCCCCATCTCCCACCTCTCCTTTTCTGCTTCAACTTGCTTTGTGATGGGTTTACAAGGACCAGCACTGAGGGCAAGCAAGGCAGAAGCAACGTGCCTGGAGCCACGTTGTCTCCGACACAGTGGCAAACACAGCTGGGCATGGCACTAGCCCAACAACTGGCCCCAGAGGGACGGAAGAAAGGGCCTCTTTAGCCTCTTGGATGTTTAGGGGACTATGTTTGGGGCCTCCATGGCCCGCCCTGGGTTCAGCACACATTTTCTGTACCACCTGTGTTGAACCAGTCTCATCAGCTGTGTGCTTCTGTTTCATCGACCTTCTTTGTCTGTTCTACAGCAGAAATGAATATTCTGGAATCACACACGTTTTCACTTTAAGTTAATCCTCAGCTCACTAGCATAATCATAAAGGGGATTTCTTCCTGATTTTGAAAAAAAATATTGGCAAATCCTTGAAGTATCTGCAAAATGTGGTTTTCCTCACCAAGTAAGCTAAGAATATACTTGAAGAGGTACCCTTTTTCCAAACACAAAGAAAGCCAATTTTCAGCCCTTTTTTCCAGAATTTTGTTACCATGGTAAAATATGCATAACATAATAATTTACCATCTTAACCATTTTTAAGTGCACAGTTTGGTGGCATTAAGTACATTCATATTGTGCAGCCATCACAACCATCCACCTTGAGAACTCTTTTCATCCTGCAAAACCAAAACTCTGTCCCCATTGAACAATAACTCCCTATCTCCCCTTCTCCCAGATCCTGACAACTACCGTTCTACTTTCTGTCCTTCCGTCCCTCTAATTTTGACTACTCTAGGTACCTCATCTAAGTGGAGTCAGTATCTGTCCTCTTGTGACTGGCTCATTTCAGAGTATAATGTCTTCCAGATTTCTCTCTATTGCAGCATGTGACAGATTCCTTTCTAAACGGTTGAGTAATCTTCTATGGATGGAACGCATTTTGCTGATCCATTCCACCATCAATGGACACTTGGGTTGCTCCCACCTCTTGGCTGTTATAAATAATACTGTTATGAACATGGGTGTATAAACATCTCTCCAAGATTCTGCTTTCAGTTCTTTTGTGTATATGTCCAGAAGTGGGATTGCTGGGCCACAGAGTAATTGTGTTTAATCTTCTGCTGAGCCTCCATGCTGTTTTCCACAGTGGCTGCAGGCATGCTCTCACCAGTGGGGCACAAGACCTCCCTTTCTCCATATCCTAGTCAATACTTGTTGCTTTCTGTTATTTGGATAGTAATCATCCTAATGAGTATGAGCCCTGACTTTCTTTAACTTGCAGTATTCAAATGGACACTAACAGAAAGCAGCTTTCCTCTTGGAAAAGAATCAGAAAGTATCAGTGACATCTGGTAAAGTGAATTTTGTAAAAGGCGTATCTCTGAGTCCCACTTCAGCCATATTTTTCCATATTTGGGTTCCATTCTAATTAAGCTTGAACTCCCGTTCTGAGTGAAATCCATATTTCTGGAAATCCTGTTTTTCAGGATTTTATGTTCCTTTAAAGAAAAATAAGTTTGCTGACTCAGAGGTTAGGTCAGTCTTTCAAACAAGTTTCAATTGAGCATGGGGTCCTTGTTGAGCACAGGAGAGAGATGCCCGATGGAAACATCACAGGCTCTGCCTTTGAGGGACTTGGGTCTGAGTAGGAGAAAAGGGTCACACAGAACAGGGAGGAGATGGAGCCTCAGGCAGAGCCCAGTAAAGATGGAGAGCTCAGGAGGGGTGGTGACAAGGCTTCTCTGTGCTGAGCACAAACCCTGTCACCCCAAGGCCTTGCCACCCACTTCCTCAGGCCCTCTTGGCACTTACTTTCAGCTCCTCAGTTTGCTCCCAGTATTTCCAGCTCCCAACCTCCTCAGGTAGCATTTCCACGGTAAGGGGATCAGGTAAATTCTGTTTCTGTGCATGGCCTATTGGTTCTTCCCACCAGCTTTTGAGCCAAGCAGGCCTAGATCCAAAAGTCATTCCCAGAGATAGCAAACAACCCTTTAGAGCAAGGCTTGGATACAAACCAACCAACCCAGAGCCCACACTCCCAAATATCTCCTTTATCAAACACACACCAAGCCAAAGTTCCCCCTGCCCTAATTCACCTGATCCATGTATCAGACAAGTAGAGACCACCCTTATAGGCTGGAGCTTGCTGAAGTTATTCAAACTATCTGATCCTAAGCTCAGGTAGCATACCTGCCCTGCATCACCCATTCCTTCCTGCAGAAACCCCAATAAAGGGTTTGGGCCACACTGTCCCTTCCCCTCTTCTGCCTTCTGACTGACCCTGGTGCTTCCCTGTGTAGCCTGCCTTCTAGGGACCTGAGTAGAAATGTCTTCCTTCATGACAATCATTTCCAAGTCTGCATGTCTTACCATACCTGATTAAAACAGACCCTAGGTACATTTTAGCATATCATGAGACTCCTGAGTGCCTAAGGATGGTGCTGGCCTGTGGAGAGTCTCTGTTCCAGTTTGTTGAAAGCATTATCGCTCTGGGCCACCTACTAGGATACAGAAGGTGTCTTCTTGTAAGTAATTAAGGTAGGTTTTTTTCCTAGGAACATTTATGGTGTGGAATCCCAATCCCAGGCTGGAAATAGCTGGCTCAGAGAAGGGACACTGACCATTCACAGTGTTCAGGCCTCTGGCTGTGAACAGTTGGTTTGTTGGCTCCTTGGGCCCAAGACTCGGTGAGGATTGTGACATATATAGAAGCAATCCCCGTCACTCCTGCCTCCAGGCAGACCCTCAGGGCCTCAGCACCCTGGTATCTCCACCCCAACACTGCCCAGGTGTGGGCTTGGTGGACACTCTGGGCCAGGCTCTCATGGTGGCTGACACAGCTCTGTCCTGAGGGTCTGTAGACCCAAGTGTCAGCTTTGGCTCCTCGTCTTGCCCCTTGTATCATCCGGGGCGTAACCCCGCCCACCCAATTTGAGCTCGCCAGCCAGGGGCCGGGACCCTCCCACCTTGGGATCCTGCGGTGTGAAGACTCGCTCCCAGTAGGTCGGGACCACCAATGTGCTCAGCGCACCCAGGCTTCCTCCCGGAAGCGCTTGGTTGGGGATTAGGACCTGGAGGGCGACTGGGAAGTTGGCATTGTTCCCAGTCCTTCCCTATTCTCCATTCACTGGTTTATGCATCCTTTGCACAGATGCTCCCTGAGCGTAACCAGAGAGGGTGTGGGGCTGGTAGAGCTGAGTTCGGAGCTGCTGGGGCGCACGGTGCGAGCGCTAAGACCGCGAGGCACGGGAAAGCAGATGGTCTTTCAGGAGGACCCGGCAAGGCCCGTTTTTCCCTGGGACCACCCCTCGGAGTGGGGGCGGGGAGCTGACTCCGCCCATTTTCTTCCCCGGGTTTGCAACCAGATCTCACTGCGGCTGTCAGGGACCCCAGGATTCGGGTCGTCGACGAGTCGGGTGTTAGGTCCCTCCCCCCGGAAAAGTTCTGCGCATTCTCCGCCCCGCCCCTCCCGCCTCCCGGGGGCGCCTCACCTCCGCTGTAGGTTCCTTGAGCCGCCCGCCCTGCCCTAACGGTGCCCTAAGCCTGGACCAAGTGCCCCCATCCACCCAGAGAACACCGGCCGTTTCCACTCGGTTTCTCTACCCTCCTCCCCAGCTGGCCGCTCCCCCGTGCCCTCTCTGCCCCGGGTCTGGGATTCTCCGCTGTCCGGTGCCTGGAACGTGCCCATAGGGAGCCTTCTATAGAAAAGCCCGGGCACAGATGCGGTGCGGGGACCAGCGCCCCCGAGGTGATCCGAGGTAGGCGGGGCCCGGCCGGGGCGACCCCAGGCTTTCCACCTGCTTCGCCGGGATCCGCTCCGCCCTTTGGCCTGCGTGTCCTTCACGTCCCGGGGCTGAGACCCCGGCCCCGCCCCTCCCTCCACTCTGGCCCCTCCCCTCCCCGGGCCCCGCCCACGACCACTTTCGCGGGCGCTCCGGCCCCGCCCCTTCCCCAGTGCCCCGGCCCCTAGGCTGGGAACCACCGAGACGGCCGAGCCTCCGAGCCGCCCAGAACAACCGGAAGTCTGTGAGACGGAGCGGGAGCGTGCGTCGAAGGCCCGTTTCCGGTTTTGTCGCGCGCTTCGAGCCTCGGGCGGTCCACGGGGAGGGTGAGTGGGTGCGTCGGGCGCGACTCGGGTCTAGGCGGTTACGTGGTCTTCGGCCTCGGGCGGAGTGGCAGCTGGCCGATCCCCGCGTCCTCCCGCCACCGGCACTGCGGGCCCCGCCCTCCCTTGCCTCCCCGCGGGGGAGCGCGGGTGGCGCGAGCGGCTTGGGGAGGCCGTGGGCGCCTGGGGTGGGTGGTGGTCGAGCTGCGGCCGCCTCGGCCAGCGGGGAGGAGGCGTTTGGCCGAGCCCTGCAGGCCCGGTTGCATGGCACCGTACCCGCGGCCTCCCGACCAGCTCTGGGCCTGCTCCAGGCGGGATCCTCCTCTCTGCATAACCACAGCTTCTCGGGTCCTCCTTTTCTCTCATTTACTGCCGGTGGAAGACCTAAGTTTAGAGACAGTGGCAAAAAGGACTGTGCCTTGGGTAGGGTGGGCTGTCTGCCTTCTCTGAATTCTGGCTGTTGCTCAGGGCTTGCTTTTCTCTACTGGGGACCAGCGGATCAGCTTCACTGTACCCAGAACCTGGGGCTCCCGCCCACAAGCCACTTTCTGAGCCAGAAGCTCCCCCAGGAAGTCCGCTTCTCGTTCAGACCTAGGGGAAGACCTGGGGAGGGGGCCAAGTTTATATAGGCGGCGGGGGTTCCTGTATCCGCTGCGCTTCTTCCTGTAATCCATTGTTCTGGTCCCATCCCCCAGTCACACCACCACTTCCCCTTGCTGCCTGTGACCAGCTCCACTGACTCATTCCGCCCTATTCCTTCTTGCTTCAGTCTCTCTGCACATGCCTTTCCCTGGTGCCTTTAGTGCCCTCCCCACCTCCATCGCCTTGGTCTAGTTTTAGCTCCTCTGGGACCCATCAAACCAAACCAGAGTTTCCTCGTTTCAGTGTGCTTTCAGAGTTTCTTCCCCTGGGCCATGGTCATGGTTGGAATGTTGTGTTGGCATGGTTGTTTAAAGACTGCTTCATGAAGGCAGAGTTCTTGTGCGTTGTGCACAGCTGTGTCCCCACTGCTTAGTCTAGCACCTGGCGGAGGTGGCACCCCCCTTCTGTTTGTGGAGTGGTTCGCACACCTCACACACTCTGAAGGATGAACAGAGCTTCAGGGGGGCAGATGCTCAAATGCTGTGGCCACTTTGGCTCCACCTTATGTCCCTGCCGAAGAACATCTGGGGTTAGAAGTAAAGGTTCGGAGAACACAGTACCCTCTCAGTAAGCCTGGAATTCAGGATAGGGGTCCTCCAGCACCCTGACCTCTGACCCTTTCATAACTGCCAACAGGTCCCTCGGCCAGGACACATGGATGCCCACCCACCGAGCCTCATGGTAGGAGTCTAACTGCCTCCATTTCCTCACTTGTCCTGTGAGGGCCCCTACCTTTTCCTCTGGGAACCTACCCTCCACTGGCCCCTTGTGGCCCTTGCCAGGCTCAGGCATGCCCACCCTCAAGGGAGTGAGCAAAACCCTGCCCAGATTGGGGCCTGCTGGAGGCCCTTACGGGGGGGGGGGGGGGGGGGGGGGGGAGGTTTGTAGATCACCATGATCTGGCTCCCTCCTCCTCCTCCATACTGCCCCTCCCCTTGATTTTTAGAGCCAAAGGGGCCTGGTGACTGTCTCACCCAATCATGTGCCTGAGACACACCATGAGGTGGAGCCAGAATGAGGCTGGCACCCAGGGTTCCCTGGGGTGCTGGTGTATGTCTTTTCAGGAGGCTGTGACGTTTGGTGATGTGGCCGTACACTTCTCGAGGGAGGAGTGGCAGTGTCTGGACCCTGGCCAGAGGGCCCTCTACAAGGAGGTAATGCTGGAGAACCACAGCAGTGTGGCTGGACTAGGTGAGGCTGCATCTTGGGACCCCTCCCCCTGCATCATTGGTTAGCACCCACTTAGCCAGGCCCTTGTCAGAAGCTGGGGATAAGGGGCTGTGGGTCTTTGTAGATCAGGAGCTGACCCTGGGAGGTGTTATGGTGAGTTCTGTGCATTGTAAATACCTTTTCCCATGCTTTTATGTTTGTTAGCTTTGTGGGGTCAGATTTTAATGAAATTAAATCCATTAGTTTTTGCCTTATGGGTTGTACTTTTGAAATTTTATTTGAAAGTTCTTTTCTACTCCAAGGTCATAGAGACAGTCTGTGTTCTCCTGTGGACTTTAGGAGTTTATTTTCTTGTTTAGATCTGGGCTCCACATTTGTGCCCGGAGTTAAGTAGGAGCCCATCCTAAGAGCTACCTTTCTTGTCTCATGTGTGACAGTGTGTTTCTGAGCTGGCCTTGTAGTGTGTCTTAATGCCTGGTAGGACAACCTCCCCTTTTTGTTCTTTTTTCTTTTCTTTTTTTTTTTGCCAAACTTTTTTTTATTATTATTACTATGTTCGTTTTTGTTCTTTTTAAAACTTCACTTACCTACTCATGGGTAATGGGGTAATTCTTTCATATAAATATAGAGTAAGTGAGTTTTTCAATTCTTGGACCTGGAATTTTTATTGGGGGTGCTTTAAATTTGTAAAACTCACGAGAGAAGAACTAACCTTTCTCATATTAACTGTTCCCATCCAAGACTGTGGAATGTGTCTCCATTTATTCCATTTACCTTCTGTGTACTTTGTTAGAGTTCTGGGATTTTCTCCAGAGTGGTCTGGTACCTTCTAAATGCTTTGTTTTTGCTTGTTTTGTGAATGTATCTTTTTCATGTTGCTATGTTTTTAACTGATTATTGTTGCTGTATGAAATGCTGTTGGTTTTGGGGGGTTGATCTTGTATTTGGCAACTTTGTTAAACTTCCTGCTAGTCTGGTGCTGTATTCTAGGAGGAGGCACCTGCAGCTGAGCATGCGGTGGTTTCCCTCTCGGTCCCGCAGGGTCCCAGCCTTTAGCCATGGCCAGAGCCACAGTGCTGTGTTAGACAGGACTGATGTGGGCAGGCCTGCTTTGTTCATCATTTTACAGGGAATACTTCTAGGGGCACCTGGCTGGCTTAGTCGGTGGAATGTGCAACTCTTGATCTCAGGGTTGTCAGTTTGAGCCCCACATTGGGAGTGGAGATTACTTTAAACATTTTTAAGAAATTAAAAAAAGAAAACAAAAAACCTTTTCTTAAAAAAGAATAAAGGGAATACATCTAATTAAAATCAGAAGAAAGTGGCTAAGGAGTTTTGTTTTTAATCATAAGTACATGGCGGAGGGGGGGCGCCTGGCTGGGTCAGTCAGTGGAGCATGCAACTCTTGATCATGGGGTTGTGAGTTCAAGCCCCACGTTGGGTGTAGAGATTACTTAAAAAATAAAATCTTTAAAAAAAAAAAAGAAAGAAGTACATTGAATTTCAAATTCTTTTTCTGCATCAATTGAGAATTTGTGTGATTCTTTTTAAGTTCATTAGTCTAGTAAATTATATTGATGTTTTGTATTTTTGGAATAAACCCTACTTAGATTATATTTTGCATATAAACTCTGATATCATTTTGGACTGAGGCAGTATTTCAGATTTTTCATCCCTGTTCATAGTGAATTGGACTTTATTATTTTTGTGAATCGTTCTTATATATTTTTGGCAAATGGCACTTGGCATATGAGTTTTATAAGATGAACTGGGCAGCTTTTGCTATCTTTTTAATTTCTGGAAGAATTTAGGTAGGTGGAATTTCAGTTTTTGGTAGAACTCACCTGTAAAACCATCTGGGCCTTGGGCCCTTGGTTTGTTTTTTTAGTGAATAATAGTCTGTCAAGTTTGTGAATTTCCTTTTGTGCTAATTTTGTCATTTTTAGTATTCCTATAAGTTAATGTGTTTGTTGAGATTTTCAGGTGCTTTATGGTCTATTTGTTCACAACACTCTATTTTTAGTCTGTATCATGTGTGTAGTTGTTTCCTTTGTTTTTTTTATTTTTTCACTGTGGTGACCTTGATTGATTTTGCCACAAGACTGTCATGTTGGTCTTTTCAAAGAACCAGTGTTTGCTTTTGCTGATCTTTCTTTGGGGGTAGGGGGTGTTGCCTTTGTTCTCTCTTCATTGTATCCCACCCCACCTTTATTATTTTCTTCCTTTTTTATTTATTTGGGTTTGCTGTGTTGTTTTGCTCCCAACTTCTTGAATTTAATACTTACCTCATTTGTGTTTTATCTTTCTCATTTCTAGTAAATGTATTTAAAAATGTAAAATCTTATTTGTAAGTACTGCTTCAGCTTTATACCACGAGTTTGACCGATAGTAAATATAGCTACCACTTAGTAATTAGTTTTCAGGTAGCTGATAGTTTTGAGGTCATGTGATTATCTTCCTATCCAGTTGCATTTTGGTTGGGGGCACAGTGTGGATGGTGCCATGACTCCCTTCCTGGCTGGCCCAAGGATGTTTCTCTGTGGACGTTCCATGTGTACTTGGAGAGAACACGTGTTTCCCACTGAACGTGGGCTCCTGTGTACATTTGAAGCCTTTATCCTCTAGGGTCTCTCTGCCTGCCCTCCTCCATCCCCACAGCCAGAAACGTGAGGGAAGCCCTTACCAGAGGGCTTGCCCAGCCCTTGGATGGGCTGGGAGCACGCCACAGCATGGTCCCCCGGTGTGGGGGCTGGTGACCCTGGAAGGTGGGTGCCACTCTGCAGTCTGCTGAGGCCCCCAGGGCTTTGCACAAGGACATGAAATGGGGGAAGTCAGGTGAGGGTCAGACCTTAGCACCTTCTGAATTAAAATCTATTCATTTGTTGGTTTATTTTTGTTGTTTTTGTCTTGCTTCTTGGCCACTCTACCTCCTGGAACGTTCCAACCCTCTGAACTGGGGGACAGCCCATCTCTGCTGAGGGAAGTGCTGGCTGCTTTCTCCCTGGACTAGAGCTGGTCTGCTCTTTGCCAACTCTTTGGTGTCAGATTCCCTGAGGATTCTGGCCCTACTGTGGATGGCGATGGGCTGGCAGTCCAGGCATCTCACTGTCCAACCTCAGGAGCTGGACCGATTTGGCCAGAGAGGGCCACTGTGTCCAGACCCTCACCCCCTGATGCTCCCTTCGGAGGCTCTGCCTGTGCTGCAGTAGCCCCCTGCCTCTTTCCTCCTGGAAACCAAGGGTGCTGGGCTCTGTGCTGTACCCTCAGCCGTACTGACACAGTCCCCTTCTCTGCCATCCCCACAGCAGGGTTCCTGGTCTTCAAGCCTGAGCTGATCTCCCGGCTGGAACAAGGGCAGGAGCCATGGGTCCTTGACCTGAAGGGAGTCGAGGGGAGAGAGGGGGCAAGAACCTTCCTTACAGGTGAGGCTCAGGCCTGAGAAGCTTCTGGGGATGGGTGAGGAGGTGTTCAGAGAACCCATGCCCAGCAAGGGCTGAGAGGGTGGGCAGCTGGAGATGGACCCCAGGGACCGACCAAGCAGGCTTGCTGGGATGCCTGTGAACACCATGGGGCCACAAGTGGGCCCACTGACAGAGCATAGCCCAGTCGTGGGGTTGCATTGGGAGAGACTGAACTACAGAACGGCAGGGACGTTTTTGCATGTTACAGCAGAAACAGTTTGTTTTTAAGTCACGTGTTGTTCAATTTCTAATTTTACTAATGTTATTATTAAGCAAAGGTGCAAAGGTATGGATCCAAGGGGAAGCACCAAGATTGGCTCTTAGCAGCTTCTCAGGCAAATATCACTTCCCTCCCTCCCACCACCAGCTCCCTCCAGAACTTCTTGGGGCCCTCTCAGATCAGGCTGCAGGGCTGTGGTAGTATCCTGGGGTTGCTGTAACAAAGCACCACAAACTTGAGGCTTGAAACCACAGAGATTAATCATCTCACAATTCTGGAAGCCAGACGTCCAAAATCAAGGCATCAGGAGGTTCCTGTCCCCTGTGAAACCTATAGGGGATGATCCTTCCTACCTCCTCCAGCTTCTGGTGGCCCCAGGTGTTCTTTGGCTTGTGTCTGTGTCACTCCAGTAGCTGACTCCATCGTCAGCTGGCTTCCCCATGTCTTCTTGAAAGGGTATCAGTCATAAAGGGTTATAGAGTAAGGTCTCTCCTTACTTCATTGCAACCTCATCTTAACATGGTCTCAACAATCCTGTTTACAAAATAAGGTCATATTCTGAGGTCCTGGGGTTGGAGTTTCAGCACTTCTTTTTGGGGGGCACAGTCAGCCCATAACAGGGGCACCTGCCACCTCACAGCGTTGACTCCCACTGGGCTTTGTTGAAGAGATGCCATCGCCTCCAGCCTTGTCTGAGCCTCCCTGGCGGACATGTTGCCCAGTTTGGTCAGGGAAGTGGGGATCGCATGCATCCCAGCCACAGAAAGGAATCCTTGCTAACTGCCGTGTCCTGCGGTCACTGCTGCAGCAGAGCAGGGCCTGGCGCCCATGCTGTGGTCCCTGGCTGGCTAGAAGCAAGTTGGAGAATCAGATTGTGACAGTTACTGTTTTTGTTTTTAAGATTTTATTTATTTATTTGACAGAGACTGTGAGAGAGGGAACACAAGCACGGGGAGTGGGAGAGGGAGAAGCAGGCTTCCCGCAGAGCAGGGAGCCTGATGCGGGGCTAGATCCCAGGACCCCGGGATCATGACCTGAGCCGAAGGCAGATGCTTAATGACTGAGCCACCCAGGTGCCCCCACACTGTGACAGTTAAGGGTTGTGCTCTTCCTACCCGGAAGGGCCTGGAGTCCTGAAGTCTCTGTAAAGCATCGTCACACGCATCGTCGTGTGGAAGGCAGCAAAGGTATGGGCAGGAGTGTTGGGAGCCCTGACCCCAGCCCCCAGCATCCTTGGCTCTGTAATTGAAGGCCCTGCCTTCCTGTTGAGGCCCCTTCCTGATCCTTCCTGGGAAGGGGGTAAAGCTGTAGGCTAGCCCAGTTAAAACCCAGCCACTATTAAATATTTTCAAGGTGGAGGGTAGATTTCAAAGAGGGTACCATGGCAGAAAAGCTAGCTGGAGTTAGCAGAATTGGGTAGTTCAGGGGGTTTATATGCAGCAAATGGTCTTTATGGTGATGAGGCAGCAGCAAAGAAAACATCCCCATGGTGAGATGGAGACCTGCTCTTGAGCCTGACAGCCCGGGGCAGGAGCCCGGCCTGGCAGATGAAAACGTGTGGAGCGTGTTAGAAAAATGCATGTGCCCAGAGGTGTTACTTGTGTCAGACTTGTGCAGCAGATAATTGAGGAGTGGCCCAGAGCGACGAGGGTGCAGAGCCTGCAGGGACACACATCTGTTCTCTGAGGGAAAACCACTTCCAGAATGAGGCTGTTTTTTAACATGTGCTTGTATCTCTTCAGAGGTTATCTAGAGCTGTGGAGAAGAGCTCTCAAGTTCCAGGGGAGGGTGAGAACTCTGGGCTGCAGTTAGGGGTCCCCAAGGATGTGATGTGGACCCCCAGAGAGGGAGCGTGTACAAGCTGAGCCTGAGGGGACGCCCCTGAGGCTGGCACTGGGGCCTGGTGTGTAGGGCGGGTTCTTAGACTTGGTTGTAGGGAACCAGATGGAGGCCGACTCCAGCGGGGTCGGGGGGGGTTTGTGGCTGCTTAGCCACGTGGGGTTGTCTTTTTCCTCGTGCGAGCAGGAGGTCCCCACCCCACAACTACAGACATCACCATGTTCTTCCCTGGTGTCCGTAGAGGCCTCTGCTTTCCAGCAGGAGGCGGTGGAGAGCAGTACTTTCTATTTGCTCATCTCCAGAGCAGAGGGAGGCCTGGGCAGAGGGCTGAATGAGCCAGCACCACATGGCCAGTCCTGCCCTGTGGAGGGGTGTGTGATTGTACATCGAGGACCAGGCAGGAGATACCCCATGTCATAAGGGCACAGAGGTCGAAAGGGCAAGTGTTGGGGGAACAGACCTGGGTCCATTCCTGATTCTCTCATTAGCTATGTGACTGGGGAGCCACAGATTGCTTATCTGTGGGGTGGTGATTCCACTGTTGACCTCTCTGGATTGTCATGAAGACTCATTGAGGAATGGCTGGGAACTAAGTGTTCCTTACCCACAGAAAATGCTCAGTGTGTGATGGCCTTTGCCTCACCCAGGACCAACCGAGAACTGCAGATCCCTGGAGCTGGAGAGGGCACTGATGTTAGGAACCACCAGGAACCCTGTAACGAGCCCTGGAGGGTTTCGCTGTGGGGTAGTAATGGCCTGCTTATAACTGGTTATCACACTGGTTATGAAGTTGGTTGTGATGCTAGTTATGACCCTGGGCGTGATCACGGACGCCAAGGAGGTGTCTGACTTTAGCAAAGGTACTCTCTGAGACTCTAGAGTAGGAGAGAGACTGACACTTACATGGAGAGTCCAAAAGGAAGGCGGATGTCAGGAAGGCCTCGTGGGGGGCAGGCAGGGGTAGACAGAGCCTCCGGAACCCCAAGGGAACAAGAAGGCAGTATGGTGTGGCCTCCTGGAAGCTGAGGGGCCCACAAGCAATGGATGTGCACGGTCAGGTGTGCATCAGAGGTGGCTAGGCAGCAGCTGGAGGAAGCAGAGTTAAGGCCTGGGGTCCTGCTCAGAGCCCTGCCCCCTCAGGCTCACCCCTGGTGTGCCCCTCAGCAGCTGTCCAGCCTTCTCTTCCTTAGAGCCTGCCTGTCCCCCCACTCATAGTTCTCAGTCCATCTTACCCTCACTCCACCTCCTCTGGATCCAGGAGCCGCTGGCCACACTTGCCAGGCTCTCAGGCTCGCTGCTGCTTTATGGATTTCACTCCTCCCAGTTCCCCACAGGATGGACCTCTCCTCACATACCCACACACAGGAGTACACAGTCGTTGAATGTATGCATAAAGTAAAAAGTATTAATGAAACCAAATTTTGAAAACTGTCAGAGGCATGATTCTGGTAGTATTTTCTTTTTTTTCTCTTTTTTTTTTGAAGATTTTATTTATTTACTTGACAGAGAGAGACACAGCAAGAGAGGGAACACAAGCAGGGGGAGTGGGAGAGGGAGAAGCAGGCTCCCTGCTGAGCGGGGAGCCCGATGAGGGGCTCCATCCCAGGACCCTGGGATCATGACCTGAGCCGAAGGCAGTCGCTTAACGACTGAGCCACCCAGGCGCCCCTGGTAGTGTTTTCCCATGTGGGTGTATCCTTGCTTGATGCAGCCCGTCCTGGCAGGGAGCTTAGTTCCCAGGGATGATGTGCAGCCCCCATCCCCTTAGAGAGGTCTTTGTCCCTCTAAGCACAGGGGATAAGGGCATTTTATCTCCTGTTTCTTTCAGATTCTGCAGTTGGGATTGCAGGTGAGCAGGCCTGTGAGGACATGGATGTTCTAAAATCAGAACCCTATGTGGCGATGGTCAGAAGCCCCCCACAGGGCTTTCCTCAGAGTTCTAGCTTTAGAGACACCTCTGATTCTGAGGTCTGGTCAGAGAGTAAGCCAAGCTCCCTCCTCCAGAAAAACCGCTTGAACACAGGGACTGTGGCTCCCAGGAAGACCTTTGCCAAGGAGGGTGTCCAGGGATGTGGCGAGCTGGAGAGCAGTGGCGACCTGGGTTGTCAGCCTGGCAAAAGTCAGGGAGGTGCTGCCGAAGGGACAGTCCGAAGATGTGACATGTGTGGCACAAGTTTCAGATCTACTTCAGACATTGCTCTGCATCAAGAAATTAATACACAGAAGAAACCTAACAGATGTCCAGAGTGCAAAAAAAAATTACCTGATTGTTTACAGGGGAAACACGGAAGTAACTGCCATGGAGAGAAGCCGTATGAATGTGAGGAGTGTGGGAAAGTCTTCAGGTTGTGCTCACAGCTTAATCAGCATCAGAGAATCCACACTGGAGAAAAGCCATTCAAATGCATCGAGTGTGGAAAAGCCTTTCGTCTGAGCTCAAAACTTATTCAGCATCAAAGAATTCATACTGGAGAGAAGCCCTACAGGTGTGAGGAGTGCGGAAAGGCCTTTGGTCAGAGCTCCAGCCTAATCCACCACCAGAGGGTCCACACGGGGGAGAGGCCCTATGGCTGTCGAGAGTGTGGGAAGGCCTTCAGCCAGCAGTCCCAGCTGGTCAGACACCAGAGGACCCACACTGGAGAGAGGCCCTACCAGTGCCAGGAGTGTGGGAAGGCCTTCAGCCAGAGCTCAACCCTGGCTCAGCACCAGCGGATGCACGCTGGGGACAAACCTCAACTTCCAAGGAACCCAGATGGCCCCAGCCTTGTTGCACATCAGAGAATCCACCCTACAGAGAAACCATTTAAGTGTGACGAGTGTGGAAAGGCCTTCAGGTGGGTGTCTCGCCTTAGTCAGCACCAGCTGACCCACACTGGAGAGAAACCTTATAAATGCAACAAGTGTGCAAAAGCCTTTGGTTGTAGCTCACGGCTTATTCGCCACCAGAGAACTCACACTGGAGAAAAACCATTTAAGTGTGAGGAATGTGGGAAAGGCTTTGTCCAGGGCTCACACCTAATTCAGCACCAGAGAATTCACACTGGAGAGAAGCCCTACGAGTGTAGTGACTGTGGAAAAGCCTTCAGCCAGAGCTCAAGCCTCATTTACCATCAGAGAATCCATAAGGGAGAGAAGCCCTACGAGTGCCTCGAATGTGGAAAAGCTTTCAGTATGAGCACACAGCTCACGATACATCAAAGGGTCCACACTGGGGAGAGACCCTACAAGTGTACTGAGTGCGGGAAAGCCTTCAGTCAAAACTCAACCCTTTTCCAGCACCAGATAATCCATGCAGGAGTGAAGCCCTACGGATGTAGCGAGTGTGGGAAAGCCTTCAGTCGGAGCTCCTATCTTATCGAGCATCAGAGGATCCACACCCGGGCCCAGTGGTATCATGAGTACGGGAATACCTTGGAAGCTTCTACCCACGTGAGCCGTAAAAAGGTCAATACTGTAAAGAAACTGCATAAATGTAATGAATGTGAGAAAATATTCAGGTGGCGCTCACATCTCATTATACATCAGAGAATTCACACCGGAGAGAAACCTTACAAATGTAACGAATGCGGCAAAGCTTTTAATCGGAGCTCAAGGCTTACTCAGCATCAGAAAATTCACATGGGATAGACTACTTATCTTTATAAATGTGCATAAATGTGAATAAACCTACAGCCTTAACTTTACGTATTTTACATGGGATCATTTATACTAACAAGAATTTAGAACGTGGGGATAGATTCCAAATTACCCTCTTAAAGAAAATGTCTAAATTCATATAAAGTGGATGTTCCTTTGCTAGAACGTGTGACCTTAGCCCACTCAGCAAAGCCTGTGTCCCTCGAGTCAGGGTGCACATGTGTAGAGTTTCGAGTTCACAGAGGGAAGACCCTCAGTCCTATGGATAAGGAAGATCACGGGAAAAGGCCTGTGAGCTTTGCCAGACAGGTAGCCTAGAAGTTACCCAAAGTCTTCCCTGTGCACTGGTCCCTCAGGTTGGCTTCAGCAGTCAGGATGTGTTAGCTCGTGCTAGTGGAAGCCCAGAGGAAGGTGCCTAGAACCCCTTTCTCCCGCCCCACCAGAGCAACCCGGGGTTACAGCCGGAGGGCCCAGTGTTGGCCTGTTCAGAGAGGAGCTCGGATCAGCGCAGGACTCCAGGAATTGCACCCGGGCCCAGGGACCTGCTCTGTGACTCTGGGATGTCACTGTCCTTGAAATCCAGAGTCTCTCTGCTTATCAGCATTGTTACAGGGTGATCATAAGAATTGAACTGTGTAAGAGAGCCTCCCCCCTCCCACACTGAGACCCCAGGCGGCATCTCCAGCCAAACCCAGTGCAGACCTGGCCTCAGCAGGAAGAGCTCACGGGAGCCCAGCAGATGCCACCCAGAGGCCAGGGTGTGTACTGTTCCTGCTGCTTACCGTACTTCTCTGAATTCGTCCTGCCATAAACTGCCAGAACTGGGAGGGTCTGGAAACTGACAGATGAGCCTGTTGCCTTTTCCCAGAGGCTGGTGGAGATGGAGACAGACTGCTCACCAGCAGTGTGAGGCTAACCACGGTGTGGATAGTGGCCCTGCCCTAGGGTCCTGGACTCACCAAAAGTTGGAGGGGACCAGAAGTCTTATTCAGACTGGCTACTGCCCACTACCACTCACTCTAGACCTGTCGATCTTTGGTGTCCTTGCCAGTTACCATGAGCAAAATTGGGGTCAATGAACCCTCCTCCCCATCCCACATACAGAAAGGTAACCCAGAGGGACACAGGTCAGTCACTTCGGGATTTATGGCAACACTTGATTTGGGTCACCGTCACACCGGTCTGGCTAAGCCTGTAGGTAGGTCCCTGAGACACAGCCTTGATGGCTGATAACCAATAGCAGGTTATGGATTTGTATCAGGTGAAGAAAGGGCTGACTGGTCCCTGTGTTTGCAGTGGGAGGTTCCAGAACTTTCTGGAATTGGGAACAGCAGAGTTCGGGATGGTCAGGTCTGTGTGGGTTTCTGTGTTTCTAGCACATGGACCAGGATCTCAGCCCAATCACCAGCCACGGCTGCTTAGCCAGGCACAAAGTTCAGTGTGTTCTCAGGCTGCAGTGCTAGTTCTTGGGTTGAAGATTGTGCCCATGGCCTGTACCTGCCCCTTTGGAGGTGTCCCTTCTCCAGGTACCAGGACACTATGAAATTATTGTGCCCATGCCCATTTCAGTTGTAACTGCCCCTCCAGCTGTCCCTACCCCACCCAGAACTTAGGTCCAAAAGGGTCAGTGCAAGAGGACCAGGGACTGCAGTTTGGTCACTGTGCCATCCCCAGAAGGGAACCCTCTCTCGGCCACTTCCCGGGAAGTTACATGAAGTCTTCCAGATTCCAACCTGGGCATGATGCTGTCCTGTAACAGCAACTCCAGGCCAGCCAGAGAGGGCCAGAGGATTCCACCAAAATCATCTCCAGCCTCTGGATTCTCTCTTTGGATTGACATGGTCCTAGATCAGGGGCTGGAACACGGAGGCCATTAGACGGGGTGGCTCTCATGCCTTGGTAGCTACATAAGCTGACCAAAATCTAGGCTGGAGTCGATTCCTCTAAGTGCACTCATCTGAGAAAATGAAATTTAAGAACAACCAATCACAAACAGCCATAAGCAGTCTTCTCTGTGAAAACCTCTCCCCTGTCTCTTCCCAGCACAGAACTCTGATTTTTCAGGTGGCCACAGCCTGGTTCCAGTCCATGTTTGCTCAAATAAACTCTTTAAAACTGATGTACCTCAGTTTACCTCTTAAAAGGCTTAAAAGCTAAAAAGGGAAAAAAAGACTATTTTGTGACATTTGAAAATTATATCGAAATCATTTCAGTGTGAATGAATATAAAGTTTTTTGGAACACAGCTGGCCCACTTGTACGACGCAAGCCAAGTTCACACTTGCTGGCCTTGTTAACTTGGGTAGAAACTCCATGACCTCAATTCTTAGTGTGGTTTGTTCACTTAAATGTCCCAATACAACCAAAAATTCAATAGAGAGAAACCTAAAGTCTTAACATTCCAGTCCAGAGTCTCAACTGCAGAAGTACAGGGTGAGGGGTCCTTTCTTAGCTGCAGCTGTGTGGAAGAGAAGCGTCCTACTGGCCTGCTCAGCAAGACTCTGAAATCAAACTGCCTCAGCACTTGAGATGCAGGGGCGTGAGATCCCGGGAAGAGTGTCTGCACACCTCACGCGTTCTGGTGGCTCTCTGCAGAGAGGGAGTGGAGGAAGGCCACCTGTTAGGGTAGTGCAAGCTTTGGGATACTGCATTCTGTTTTCAAGCTGTAGCTCCCAATTTGGGCTCCAGTGACTATAACAAGCATTTTTAAGACTATCCAGAACTCTGTTTCAGAGTAGATATTACCTTGGATTTCTCTTTTGGAGGCAATAAACCCATAATTTTGACCCAAAACTGCTTTTTACTCAATTACTAGATTAAGTTTTGATGTATGACATTGGATTGGAACCACCGAGCTTCCTGGAAGCTTCACGAAGGGGTGGGGGGTGCACAGCCCAAGTGAGTTCACACAGTGTGTGTGGCTTGCACTCAGAGCCTAGGGAATGTTTGTCTAACGTCCCGACCTCAAAGCCTGGATGCTCCCCCAGTGCAGGATTCACTTGTTCAACACTCAGGGAAGAGAGGAAACCCACTGGCATCGAGTTTCCACAGAGGGGTGTCTGGAGGGCGCCCGGTGGTGGAGTGTGAGACTTGATCTCGGGGTTGTGAGTTCAAGCCTCACGTTGAGTGGGGATTATTTTTTTAAAAAGGTTTCCAGAGAGATCTGAAAAAGATCCAGAAAATGGTACTCTTCAGGTGTGAATGTCCATTCCAGAATGTCCATTCTGTACAAGGCCTTGTGCGGGCCCGGGGACAAAGGTGCACCTGGAGCCCGGTCAGTGGTAGGGACTGACCACAGATGAGGGTGGACAGCTGCTCTGGGCACACAGGGTCCACACACCCCAGCCTGCCAAGAGCTGGGCTGAGGGAAGCAGAGCAGAGCCACCATCCATCTGCCACCTGGTTTCATATGAGGTAACGGTGGCCTTTAAATGGCTTAAAGTGATTTTGTGACACATGAAATTAAAATTTCAACACCAGTAAGAAAATTTTTATTGGAATGTGATTGTGCCTGTTGACTCACGTAGCGCCTGGCTGCTCTCAAGCAACAGTGACAGAGCCGACAGCATCCTTGTGACCTGCAAAGCTGGCATGGTCACTCCCGGCTGGCACCTGCCACAGCGGCTCTGCGGAGCAGCAGGGGAGTGGAGGGAGGGGCCGCCCTGCAGCTGCCGTGGGAGGGACAGCGTGCTTAGCGCCACCGTGTCTGCCAAGGATGGAGGACAGTGCTCCGCCCCTACTGTTACTGACTGGAAGCAGCAGCACAGACCGCGCCTTCTGGGAGGCGGCTGGTGAGTGCGCAGAGTGTCCGGAACCCGCCAGGAGCAGAGGGTGTGTGACCAGATGCTGTACCTTCGAGGGCCCAGGGCCGTCCCAGGGGACTGCAGAGTGGACGCACCAACACAGCTGTGGAGACAACCTGCCAGACCACCCCAGCCAGGGGCACAAGGACGGGGGGGGTAGGCCTCTGTGCCCCTTGGGCAGAGAAAGGAAGTGCTAGTCCGGGTGCTTGCCCACTGGGCGACTCCTGGAACTCTGCACCTCCGTCGGCCCACGTGGGAGTGGAAAAGTGCCTTCTCCCTGCAAGTGCTGAGGGGCTCCAAGTGTGCTCCAAGGGCCTCTCGGGAAGGAGCTGTGCATGTTCTCACAGATGCCAACAATGGCATGGCCTGGGAAGTGCCTCTCCTCTCTGCTCGGCATATAACTCAGAACCATGGAGGCCCAGCCACGTGGCCCTGTGGTGGCAGCAGAGCTCGGAGCACTCGCCGGGACATAGAAGCCTGGCTCAGACCCTAGGTCTCTATTCCTGGTTGCACCAGCCAAATTCCAGTAATCTTGCATAGCAGAAGCCCCTAAATCTCAACGGCTCACAACCCTAAAGGTGTGTCCACATGAGCCGGCAGGGACAGCCTCTTGAAGCCCCCCGGGTGATACTCACTGCTCCTCCAGCCAGCCTCCATGGTCACTCTTGCAGTCAATAGATGGAGGACACTGCCAACAGGGCAGCCCCGTCCGGGTCAGGAGGGAAGGCTGACCACCCTAGCTCACCCATCAGCTGTTTGACTTGGGGCAAGCCTCTGACCTCCGTGAAGTGGGGAAGCTTCAACCTGTGAGTTAGTGGGTGGACACGCGTGCGGTACGTAGACCGGTGCTCGGCATTTGCCGTTACACCTGTAACACCTCTGCTCGCGGCTGCACTGCCCAGGGACTGGCCTGTAAGGGGTGATTGAGAAACCTGTACTGAGAATGTATTTTGGGTCACAGCTGGACAGTGATATCAAGGGCTTTAAAATGTTCACATTCTGCCTCCTTTGTCCCCATTTCTAAACGGTTTCAGTTACATAAAATGGTTTTACCACTAACCATCACTGTGATTTTTAACAGGGGGGAAAAAAACAGCCATTATGGTCTGTGTCACCCCCTTCACCTCCAAAATCTGTATGTTGAAACCCTAATGCCCAATGTAATGGTATGAGGGGTTGGGGCCTTGGGGATGTGATTAGGTCATGAGTTCAGAGCCCCCAGAGAGCTCCCTCACCTCTGGAACCTTGTGAGGACATGGCGAGAAGTCTGCAACCCGGCCATGCCAGCACCCTGATTCCAGACCATCAGCCTCCAGAGCTGTGAGAAATGAATGATGTTGAAGCTGCCCAGCCTGTGGTGTTTTGTTTGTTGTGTCTAAAGGAACACAGCACACCTGCCAAGGGGAAGGGTACGTCCTACAGCCACCAGCCACAGCGGTCACACTCAGGAAGTGAACAGAGCTACCACACACACAGATGCAGACACAGTGTGCGTCGGTTTCCGAGGCTGTCTATGGGCAAAAGGACTTTGAAATTCTTTTTTCTTGTTTGCTTTTACTTTTTTTTTTTTCCCCAAACGTACCCTGAGTTTGTATTCCCTGAACATGTCTAATGGTCACGATAGACATACTTGGCAAAGAAGGCCTCCATCACTGGGTGGGCGGACATGGTGCTCAGCAAGTACGTGGGCCAAACGGCAGCTTGGATGGCCCAGTCCAGCTCCCATCCTCGGAGCAGCAGGGCCCCGGATGACCACTGATGCTGCAGGAGACAGAATCTGCGCCCCTCAGCTGAGCCAGGCCTGGGCCCCACCTGGGGGCTCTACCTGGGAGCTCAGCCTCTGAAACCCTACCCCTGCGTGTGCAGCACCACCCCACCTTTTGTCCTCAGTCTCCCACACCCACATTGCCATGACCCTGACTCGGAGGGAGAAGGGTTAACTGCGAGGGTGGGAGTGCTCTGCCCTCGATGGGGCCCCAGCACAGAGCAGGGGGGCAGGAAGGGGGTTCTGGGAAAGGGCAGGGCTCATGAGCTGTTTTTCAGGGGAAGTTCCTACAGGCTGCTCAGGCCCATTTATCCTCCAAGACTTGTGAGCTGGTTGCTTAGCGGAGAGACCATGGAGGTGGTGACACCGCCAGGGGAACGCAGACTGACAGCAAACATCTCTGCAAAAAGCAGGACCCACGTCCCCTACCTGGGGGGCGGTTATGCTGGAAAGTGCAACACTGGCCACAGGCCTGAACACTCCCACCCTGGAGGCACCCAGCAGAGATCCCGCTCCCCTCCACCCTGCACATTCTCACTGCGAAGTACTGAATTGTGTTCCCCTCCAAGTTCACGTTAAAGTCCTAACCCTGGGTGTGACTGTTTATGGAGATGGGGCCTTCAGGGAGGTGATTAAGGTTAAGTAGAGTGGGGCTCCGACCCAACAACAGGACTGGTGTCCTTAAGGAGATGAAGAGAGAGCTCTCTTCTCTCACACATGCACGTGGCCTGAGGAAAGGCTGTCTGCAGGCCTCTGACCAGCCTTCAGAACTGTGAGGAAATAGAATTCTGTTGCTAAAGCCACTCAATCTAGGGTATTTTGTTATGGCAGCCGAGCTGCCTAAGACACCCACTCAGAGGATCCCAGGAGAGGCCCCTGTCCCCCTCTCCCCGACTCTACCTCAACCCTGGCAACAGCCTCTCCACCAGGCTCCCAACCCCTGCCCTTGTGCTCTACTATGCTCGCAACACAGCATCCAGGGAGATCCTTTTGGAGCAACTGTCAGATCACACCCACTCTGCTCAGAGTAGAGCCGAAGTTCTCACAGAGGCCCCCGGGGGCGTGCCCTCCCTCCACACCCTCTACTCACCCCTCACCCAGCCACAGCTGCTCGGGCTGTGCCCTCACACTGCTCTGCTCCCCTACCTCCTTCAAGTCTTTGCTCATATACCATGTCCCCACCCCATGACCCAATTTAGGATGACAGCCCAGCTCTTCCATAATCCTGCCTCCCGTCCTGGGACCCTGCTCTATTTCTTTTCTTTCTTTGTTTTTTTACTTTAAGATTTTATTTATTTATTTGAGATAAAGAGAAACAGGAGTGGGGGCTAGGGGCGCTGAGCAGGGAGTGGGACACAGGGCTCCATCCCAGGACCTCCAGATCATAACCTAAGCCCAATGTAGACATTTAACTGACTGAGCCACCCAGGTGCCCCTCTTTCTTTTTCCTTTTGCAAATATTTTAGAGAGAAAGAGAGCGTGAGTGGGAGGAGGGGCACAGGGACAGATCTCAAGCAGACCCCTTGCTGAGCACAGTCTTGATCCCAGGACCCTGAGATCATGACATGAGCCAAAATCAAGAGTCAGATGCTTAAGAGACCAAGCCACCCAGGGGCCACCCCCCTGCTTTGTTTCTGCACCACTTACCCTCCTCTGACAAGCTTTGCCAGGCACTTTGTATTATGCATTTTGTAATGTCTCCCCCTCACCACTAGAATGTTGGCTCCATGAGGTCAACGACGTAAGACAGGAAAATGAGATGTTCACAAAAGCAAATGAGCAGATGCTACATGAGGCCAGGCTGAGTGACCACAGTGTCCACAAAAAGGCCTTGACCTGGACACCCAATGGCAACCAAACCAGAACCACACATGGCCCCCCGACAGCAGCAGATGCCCTCACCCAGTAATAAAGCCAATAGCCAGGGCAGGGTGTGCAGTCTGACGCCCACCCAGGAGGACACTTTGTTATAGTTGCTTTATTTCCAATAAAAAGGGAAGATCCAGCTTTCTCAACTAAACAGACCAATGACATGATTACATTCAAACATCTCAGGAATGCCTCCTGAAGGGCAGGCTTTATTTGCGGACACCTGTTGGCGCCAACTCTCCCCAGATGACTGCAATGGGGTTGCAAGCACAGTCAGTCCTGCAGTTTGAGCTCACACCTCTTCTCCAGGTCGGCCATCTCCTTGAGGACCAGGGCCACGCTGTACCGCAGCTCCTGGAACTTGGCTGTTGGGATCTCAAAGCGGAATGCCGACCCATCTGAAAGCTTCAGCTGCATCAGGACACTTGGCTGCAGGGAGCGGGCCAGGGCACTGGTGGAGATTGCCACGTCCACCCTCCACCACATGCCGGCAACATGGGGCAGCCAGGCCCCCTGCTGCCCAGCCACAGAGTTGAGGAGAAGCCGCTGGCTCCCAAACACCACACTGGCCAAGTCTGTGACCAGGTCTTGCGGGATGCAGAGCTCCTGGAGCTGGTCCTTGAAGGCGTCAGGCTTCAGGCTGGCTGGGGGCAGCCGGATGGCCTGCTGGAGCAGTGTGTTTGTGCCGGCGAGGAGGACCCCCAGACGTTCCTCCGACAGGTCTGCTCCAGCCCTGAGGCGCTGCACAGCCTCCCGGCAGTCCTCTCCCTGTAGACTGCTGACCACCAGCTTCAGCAACTTTCTGAATGTGCCCCTGTCCAGGTCTCCCAGGAGCCGGGGCATTGCTGCCACTTCTGGGGGGAGTTGGGCCCCCAGGAAACTCACCCGGCCACTGTGGCTATCACCAGGGTAATGCAGGTATGGAGCTGCAGTCCCCATGGCAGACATTGCTGCTTCCTCCTTTTTGATCAAGCAGCCCAGAGGAAAGGTCTCAGCTGCAACTGCCAGGGGCAGGGAGAAGAGAAGTCCAGTAACTCCCATGTGCTCTGGGCCAGAAAATGAGGACTAACATGGCCTCTGCCTTCAAGATGCTGACAGCATGAACCACCTACGACAGCCAATGTAATGGGAGGTGCCCCGAGAGCAGGTGGCAGATGGGCCCACTTTAATCCTGGCAAGAGACCAGCCAGGAGTTGGCAGGGAAGGGAGACAGGGTGGGGAGGAGGAGAGAACCAGAAAACAGGAGAGGGCACATAAGTTCTCCAAACACATAATGGAGAAAAGAGTGAAGAAGAAAAGTCCGCAGAACACAGGGAGGTAACAGCCACTGCTGCTGCCACCAACCACCCTAAGCTCAGTCAGCTCTGAATCGGCACAACGGCTCTGCAGGAGCCAATAAGGACACCGAGGCTCCAACACAACTGCCCAAGGACTAGAACCCAGGCCTGTCCAAAGTCCCCACTGTTTCCACAGCACAGGAGAAACCAGACAGAGGCAGGCAGGAGGGGCACGTGACAAGAGGTACCGTGGAACCTGGAGAAAAGCTGTCAGTACCTGACAGTATACTGTCATGGCACATCTCAGGTGACCAAGCCACACGCAGAGGACAGAGCTCGGCGGAGCACGGAAGGGTCCTCACCATACAGCGAAATGGGGCGCGGCGAAGCGCGGGGGAGCCCGGGGGCACAGGGGGCCCTTTACTGGCTTCATCGTATCGCGTTCTCCCGGGAAGGCAGGGCCCCCCTCGCCCTGCCCGTCAACGACCACCCACTGCCCAAACGCGGGTCTTCCCCAACTGCCTGGCGTCTGGCCCCTATCAGGAACCGCCTTCCACTGCCCCGGCCGCCCCGCTGCTCAGACCCTGCTCCCGGGAGGCTAGCGTGCTGCCCCCCGCTGACGCTCTCCTGGCCACCGGCCCCGAGGAAGCAGCTGACAGAGACCGGCCCGGTTGGAGTCGTGCCCCGTGCTCGCCGGGGAGGCCCTGGTCACCTGCCGCGCCGCCGAGCGGCCGCCCACGAGCCGCGGTCCCCGCCGCCGGGCCCCGCCCCACGCAGCCCCGGATCGGCCTCCAGAGCTTCTCGAATGGAGCGGCCAAGGAGCCATATCGCGGTCCGCTGCCTCCGCCCGGAAAGAGCGACCCCATCCCCCGTACCCCAAAGCCCGAGATGCCCCCGCACCTGCAGAGCGTAGTCTGGTGCTTAGCGGCCAGGCGAAGCTCAGCGGCGCTGCCACACCGGAAGCGGGGCCAGCTCCCCGGAAGCGACCCAGAGCCACTTCCGGGCAGCTCTAGGACGCCGGGAGGACCACGCCCTCTGTGATCCGGACATCGGAGAAAGGCGTTTGTTCTGAAGGGGCTGAAGAGGGTCATAGTCTGCGGGATGCACCTGCAGCCATCGTTCTGCGAGGATTTCAAAGGCCTTTCACGGACGGGCGGGCCCGGTCTCCGCTGGTGTCTGGGGCGGGACCCTCATCCAGCAGGCCGGACCAGGAGGGCCCAGGAAGAAGGCCGGTGGCACAGGCCCGAGGGTCCTGGGCAGCCCTCCCCGAGGGAAGTCCAGCCTGCATCCCCCTGCGTGGCTGTGGGTGACGACGGCTGCACAACAGTGTGAATGTGCTTAACCTCTCGATTGTACGTTTAAATGGGTGAACTGTATGGTATGTGAATTATACCTCAATAAAGCTGTTATTTTTAAAAGTCGGTGAAAGGGAGGTAAACAACCCAATTAAAATGAGCAGAAGATTTGAATAGATATTTCTCCAAGGAGGATATAAAATGGCTAATGGGGCGCCTGGGTGGCTCAGTTGGTTAAGCGACTGCCTTCAGCTCAGGTCATGATCCCGGAGTCCCAGGATCGAGGCCCACATCGGGCTCCCTGCTCAGCAGGGAGTCTGCTTCTCCCTCTGACCCTCCCCCCTCTCATGCTCTCTCTCTCAAATAAATAAATAAAATCTTAAAAAATAATAAAAAAAATTTTTAAAAAATAAAATGGCTAATGAACCAGAAATGTTGGCTGTTGTTGGCCATTAGGGAAAGGCCCCAGGGAGGTGCCCTTTCATACTATTAGAAGGGTGATAAGCAAAAGACAGGGCAAGGGCTGAGCGTTTGTGTCCCCAAATTCATATGCTGAAACCCTAATCCCAATGTGATGGTATTTGGAAATGGGGCCTTTGGGAGGGAATTAGGTCATGAGGGTAGGGCCCCGTAAACAGGATTTAGTGCCCTTTAGGAAGAGGCCACAGGGCAAGCTAGCTCCTTCCTCTATGCGAGGGTACGGTCTACACCTCGGCAGGGGGCTTCAGCCAAACCCGACCGTGCGGGCACCTGATCTCAGACTGCCCGCCTCCAGAGCTGAGACATCAACCTCTGTTTATCAGCCACCAGTCTACGGTACTTCGTTAGAGCCGCCAGGACCAAGCCGAATACAGCGATGGATAGGATGGTCAGAATGAAACCCTTCTAAACGGCTGGTGGGGATGGAGAGGAGAGAAGAGTCTTGCGTTATCTTAAAAAATTAGAAATATTTATATTACTCATATCGACCTTAAAAGTAAAACAGCCAGTTATTTTTCGGCAAAACGTGTTCGTTTGGTGTGAAAATTCATAAAAGGAACCTCATTTAGTATGGAGCCAAGAAGCCAGCAGGGCCAGCGCTGACACCCGTCCGCTCCTCGGGGCCCTTTGCGTACTACTTTACTGCCCGGGAAGAAGATTTCCTCCTCCCCGGCAACCCAGCCAATGAGAAGCCGCTATACTTCCACCTCCCAGTTTAGTCCAATAGACTTTCAGTTGACAACAGCCCCTCCTTTGTCCTGCCGACCTGCCTGTGTTTTTGTTTTAGGTTTGTTATCCTGAATTGCGGTTCTCTGCTATTCCCAAATAAACCTATTTTTGCTGGTAAACTCAGGAATAGTTTTATTTTCTATACCTGCTAGCAAGACTCTGTTCTGTTTTATAGTTCAGTAGATTGAATATACCACAATTTGTTTCTTGGCTGTCATATGGCTGGACAGCAGAGATCTTTCCAGGATCTGCGTGTCATAAATAGATCTGCTATGAATTTTCAGGTTACAAGTTTTTTTGTGTACATATTTTCATTTTTATTGGGTTAGGAATGAAATTGCTGAGTCAGAACAGGCATATGTTTCATTTTATGAGAAAGTGCATGAATTTGATTTTGATTTTTTGGAGTGGTTGTATCATTTTATATTCTCATCAGAAGTTTCAAGGAGTCCCAGGTGCTCCATTTCCTTGCCAATATTTGGACCTGTCAGACTTTTAAACATCCATTCTGGTGGGTGTATGGTGATGCTTTTCATTTTCGTTTCCCTACTAACTAGTGACACACTATCTCATGTGCTCATTGGACATTCATGAATCTTTGTAAAGGTATTGTTAAAATATTTTACCTATTTTTTATTGGGTGGATTAGCAATTGTTACTATTATTATAACCATTTTATTGAGGTAGGATTGACAGGTAAAAAGATGTATCTATTTGGGGGCAGAGCAAGATGGTGGAGGAGTAGGAGACCTAGATTTCGTCTGGTCTCAGGAATTCAGCTGAATAGGGATCAAACCATTCTGAACACCTACGAACTCAACAGGAGATCGAAGAGGAGAGTAGCAACAACTCTCTGAACAGAGAAGAGACCACTTACTGGAAGGTAGGACGTGCAGAGAAGTGAATCCGAGGCGATATTCGGGAGGATAGACGGCGGGGGAGGGGGCCTCCGTCGGCCGCTTCTGGCAAGTGCTAGAGCCGCGGAGCACAAAATCGGACCTTTTAGAAGTCGGCTCCGCTGAGGGACGTCGTTGCAGTGGCTAAGTGGGGGGTGGAATCCTCCCAGGACAGTGTGGTCTCAGGACCCTTGGGGTCACAGAAAGACCGGGGGTGCCTGAGTGCGGCAGAGCTCCCAGGTATCGGAGCAGGGAAGCCAGCTGCAGAGATGGAGCTGAGGCGCGGGCTCTCAGCTCGGGGTTGCCATAAACTGTGATCCGCGGCC